GCCTGTCAGGCAGTGCTCATCATAGGGGTTGGGCTTAAGCAGCAATATCCAAGCCTCATGTGAATAATGAAGAGTTCTGCTGTGAATTAGTTCATGCTACTACACAGCTGATATTTGAAATTCAACCTATCAACAATCTTTATTCTTGAACAACTTTACCCTTTGTATCACCTTTGTAAATTAAACTTAATGTCATATTCAAGTCATAAGGAAAATAATTAGTTCAATGTATTTCCAGCATTTGTGGAATTGGATTGTCTTTGTTTTTACTTTGATATAAAATCAAATTATACTATTTTTGAACTGCAAATTCATATGCAATATGAATGAAAGGGAAAATTAATTTTAAGTGACCAATAAATAAGAATAAATCACTCAGACTTGTCCAGGCAAGCAGGCATGTCCGTTGGGCTGTGTAGTTGGCAGGGTAATTCTGCCAGGCTTGCCTGTGAAAGTGGTCCACATGGCCAAGTTGATGGACAAGCAGGCATGCCTGACAATGCAGTACAATAAGCATGGTACCTAGCATTACCTAAAAGAAAATGTGTAGCTGGATAATTGCTTTGTGTGTAAAGAAAAAGAGAATATGGTGCAGAGCTTGGCTCAACAGAAGTTAAGTTTATGAAAGCCACACAACAATACTTGGGAAACTACAGCATAGCCATAAGCAAGGTTTCAGAAAATATTAAAAAATGAGTGTAAGTACTTCTTATACCTTACTAGCAAAGGTGGAGCCATATGTAATGAAAATCATGAAACAGTATTACAGTTGAAGCTCAAGGCACTGGGCACTGCCCAGTGATTTCGCTCATCAGGTGCTTGAGCAATTTGAGAGAGTGCCCATCAAATTTGACTACTGATCAGGCCTACTTGTTTAGACAGGCCTTGCGAAGTCAGTGGTAGACTTGCATTGTATTCCATACAGCACAAAAATCATCACATAGCAACTTAATTTTGTCATCAAGATTTTCATTTACACAACTGAAAAGTCAGTTTATCTGAAAGGATATGACATCAAGAGAATCATATCTGAAGATGGAATGCAGAACTATCACCTCAGCATTCAGATAAACTTGCAACCAATACCCAGTGGACTTTGCCCGTAGGCTTACCAGTTAATTTTGTTTGAAGAATAAGTATTAACCCAATGGTGACAGGTGAAGAAAACTTAAAAAGAAAACTATACACTCTGGCAACCAATGGCAGCACGCCAACTTTGAGCGTGGGAGTTCGGTACATCAGGCCGAATCACCAGCTCACCGTGCTTTGGCACGCCGCCCCGGCGTACAGCCGCACGCCACATTTCTTGCAATTCGTTTTCACGCCTATAGGTGTCACCCGTTGTGAAGGGGTTAAGCGCCTGTAGGGCAGTGCTCAGTCATGTGGACAAGACTTGAGTAGCCATATCCAAGTCTCCAATGCACTAAATCATAAATTACACGATTATTCTGTGACAAGTAATTTATTTTGATTTCTATGATGGCCACACCAAAATTATAATCAGACATCTGAGGTGCCTGAATTATATATTTCATTCAGGCTTCAAGTAATGATGGTTAGAAGCATAAAAGTTCTGATAAAGTGGCTAAGAATGCAAAAGGAATGTTGAAAATAAATGCGAATACTCCAAAATAACAGCTAAGCATCATCTACATGTCAAAGCCTCTCTTAACCCGACTCCGATGGGTATCAGAAATCCCTGAGCGTCATAAACTCTGGTGATTTCTGGCAAAATCCAGACACTGAGCGTAACCTGGTGCTCCACACGCTCTGGTGCATCGTCATGCGTACAGCCCTACCCCGCAGATCAAACGGTATGTTAAGATGCTTCTCCAAGTGACCCATCCATAAACCTTTAATAATGAAGCATGACTGTGGCCAAGATTATATATCTTGCCAACAAGCCTCATTTGACTGCCGAAAAAAAGAAACCTGTTACCTTTGGGGAGGTTTGAATTGGGAGATAAAAAAAATTCTTGGATCTATTATTACAGATTCAGATATCTTTCGTTCTATCAAGAACACAATAAAAAATATAAACATTTTGGGTGGTTAGAAAATTGCCTGGCATAGAGAACAATGTAAATAATCAATGCCTTGATTACAAAAAACTGTGCTTTCCATGTATGTTTGTTTGATTTAAATTCTGTGCACAATTGATTCAAAGGGCCTTTCCACACAATAAAACAGTTCCTGACAGACTGATCAGTTATCAGACCAAGCCTGTGTTTGGTTGTACATACTGGGGTCCTGGTGTCTTAGCACAGTCATCATATATACCCAGCAACAGACAAACTACCAGGCAGATGGCCTTATCTACTGATTTCACTTAATCAACAGCACAGGCCCTCCATTGGCTTGCCAGTCAATTTTGCCTGAACAACAGGCACCGAGTGACTATCGGGCATTGCTTGATCATGTGGACTTAAAAATATGCCCTTGATATTCTAGGATGATTGCATAGCTAATCACAGATGCTAATTAGTATTCACTAGTATAAATTTGTTTACAAGCTGTTGAATGGAATAAGCAAAGATTGTGTAAATTTAGAATTTGCAATTACTTTTCACCACAAGAGAAATTACTATATGAAGGCAAAGAGTATTCTGATTAACTGTACTTAATATGGTCACTCAGAATTCATAATCTAGGAACAGGATTAATTAGTATAATAAGTAAGACTGAGGCAGCATTTTTTAGATAAGATTTCATTATGCTGTATTTCCAAGATATGTCTGACAAGAATTCTTAGAAAATATTTGCTACATCCATATACATGCAAGGCATTAAGAATGTTATTTTAGCCTTGAAGTAGGGCTTGTTTTTTTTCTCTCTACCTAAAGCCAAGGGACAAGAGGATGAAGAGGCTGTCACTATTATAGAAATGGGAATTCATAGTACATTACAGTCAATACAATAGTATATGTATACTTGTATATTGGTATGCATTCATTTGCGTATAAATTGCTAAGCTAGTGCTACAACTAAAATATGCCTTCATGTTTTAGTAGAGCTTCCTAAAGTTCAATATGCTAAATATCAGCATATCTTGATTAGGGATGATGGTAAATTGGACTGAATTATGCTGTACAGTACAATTTGTAGGCAGCATCGAGATCTGTACCATCTTGAAAGATTGAAGTGACAAAAGAGTACAGACCTGGATAACATGGAAACCTACTATGAACTCTCAATACAAGAGTGTTCACATTTAACTATGAAGATAATTAGAAGTAATGTTAAAGATGAAGATGATTTATATTTGACACTCCCTTTTAAGGGTTAAGACAGTATCCTTTCAGGAATTTAGATGAAGCATTGCCCTTTTGCCTAACTGGATGCCTTCCTATAACGGACATTAGTGCTCCATACTGCAAGGCACACCTGAGCTACAGTGGGGACATATATTGAGAAAGATATATAATCTATTTGCTACATCTTGCAGATTGCTAAAACTAGATGTTCTTATGCAATATCTTCATCTTGCTTTCCCTTGTCAGAGAGAGTGCACCTTCAAGAAAATAATAATAATAATAACTAATGGCATGAACAAATATACAAATTAAGTCCAAACATAATACACTACACAAACCTGACAATCATTGGAAAACATGACAATCATAGGAAAACATGCTTATATAACAATAAAGATGATGATGAATATAGTGACAAAAATTACCATGATCACTTGCTTTTGCCACTGAAAAAAAGCACTGTGACTTATAATATATATAACTCTCACATTAAAATATAATATTTGGCAATGACCTTCACTATAAGTACATACCTTTTTCATAGACAGGAAACATAATTGGGAATGTAACAGTCTTAGAGTAATACTTTGGCTTTCCATGATCCAATTCTAAGTACAATATCAACATTGCAAACAATAAAGCACTTAAATAACTTCAATATAAATCACTGATTATATCTGGAAATGTATATACCATATGAGAGAGAGAGAGAGAGAGAGAGAGAGAGAGAGAGAGAGAGAGAGAGAGAGAGAGAGAGAGAGAGAGAGAGAGAGAGAGAGAGAGAGAGAGAGAGAGAGAAGGTGGGGGGGTGTAAAAAATGCTGGAGTTATGGAAAGACCTAAGCTGTAGCCAGTCAAGTAACACATTTTCAAATATGCAGTTATTTGATGTATTGAATAATTAGTTTTAATAATACAAAGAATACTCATAAGAGATAGCACTAAGGTTTGTAGGGCAAAGCACAGAAAATGTCCTACATATTGTAATCCTTACCATTCCACAAGTCTTTGACAATATAGGATTCATAGATAATCTTCTTTTACTGAAAAATTTATGCCCTCCACTAAACAGCTAAGACATAAAGACTCTTTCCCCAACCTGTATATACTATATGTAAGAACACTCTTATGCTTGAAAAGGTATGGCTTTTAGCCATTAGTATTGTAGGATCCTCCTCAGGTCAAGACAATCAAAGGTGTCCACAGTATGTTCAGCTCTGACTATTTTCTTGAGCTATATTTATTGGTTTATTCTTGTATATTAAAAATGCACTACTTAAAATGAGTTAAAAAAAAAAAAAAAATGAAGACATGGTGAAATATCACTGTACATTCTACATACTGGTAAGCATGAAGAAAGACGAGACAAAACAAAAAGCATGTAAGTGCCCTGACGAGTTGGAACCAACACTGAACTAATATGGCGAAACTAAAGGAGCACTTGTATTTAATACTGCTAATCACCAAAGCATATTTGAATAAAGTGTTAGAGATGAGGGGATACACACCAAAGACTACAGTGTGTGTTTTTAGTGCTGGAAAGAGTTGGGAATGACAAGCTTGACCTTATATTTTTTCAATACAAATTTTTAAAATGTAAATCTTATGCAAACACCACAACATGAAAGAATGACTGTTGTTGTAATGTTTGGGCACCAGAAATGCACGTGGCTACAGGCTCAGAGAATACATTGCAAGTAGGAAAAAATGCATAATGAAGTTAATAGACTGATTTCAACTGCCCTTCGTGATTTTGTGTGTGTGTGTGTGTGTGTGTGTGTGTGTGTGTGTGTGTGTGTGTGTGTGTGTGTGTGTGTGTGTGTGTGTGTGTGTGTGTGTGTGTGTGTGAGTGAGTGAGTGAGTGAGTGAGTGAGTGAGTGAGTGAGTGAGAGAGAGAGAGAGAGAGAGAGAGAGAGAGAGAGAGAGAGAGAGAGAGAGAGAGAGAGAGAGAGAGAGAGAGGGAATAAGTGAAACTAATTGAAAATAATATCTTAAACAGTACAGTTACAAAACAGCAATTGCAAATAATAATAAAACACAAGTAGAGAAAAAATACCATTAAAATAAATCTGAGACTTCAACTTCTCACAACTACTGCAGGGAATCAAGCTCCTGCAGCAGGCTGTGCCCCTTTTCCCCCATCAAGCGGCAGAAGTATGAGACTGCAGGTCGATTCCCCAAGCTGAACAGGTGGAGGACGTACTTCCTGCAGGGAGAGTCAGTCATGAAGATTTATTTTTTTTTTTTTTTTTTTTTTTTTTCAAATGTTTAAGGTGAAATGTACAAATTCATAATAATATGTTGTAAAAAGAGTATCATAAATTTATTCCCATGCAAAAATATGATAAAAGAACAAGAGAAGCAAATGCAGAAGCCCAACCGATGGATGTTCTCTGCCAGGGAAGCCATGGACACAGGAGCCGATATGACGGGGGAAGAGCCTGACTGAGAGCCTGTGGAACCCAAGGATGGGTTGGAGCCATGGTGCTGGCTGCCAGGCAGTGTATGCAGCTGCAAGGCAGCAGCCAGGAGCAGAGCTGCTCTCTGGTGGTAATGCTGCTGCACCAGCTGTTCTATGGCTGCAGTTATGCTTCCTACAGACAGCAAAGCACACACTCCCTGATCCTGTAGTTGAATAGTTTACAGTGACTGATAATTACATATAGTTTGTATAGATGACTCATGGAGAGAGAGAGAATGAAGTAAAAATTGGACAAATGTTACAATTATCTTTATTTCAATTTTATTATCAGCTTTTAACTTACTTATATTTCTTTATTAAGACCTATACAGGTTCTATTCTAAACATGCATGCATGAGGATGAGTCCAATTTTTACTTATTCTGTAGTCTCCCTAACACATTTAATCCTCTGGGCATATTAGGGTTCTTGTAGCTATTATTGCTATCGGATATTATTTTAATCATTATCATTTTTAGTTGTCATTATCATAATCATTTTTATGATATCCTATTTAAAATGAATATATACATAAATACTTATAAGCCAAATATATCATCTGGACTCTGACCTTGTTGCCTGAGTTAATAAGATGCTGTGCCCATTTTTTGATGATGTCAACTGACTCTTGCACAGGTAATGCACATTTAGCCAGCCAAACAGAGTTCTCCCATTGGCCATACGACTGGAGATATCGACATGCATCCCCTGCCTTACCAATCAGACACAGCAATTCAACACCTGAAAACAGGGAATACAACAAGATCATTAGCAAAATATTTACGAGGCACTCACAGCACCTACGTTACATACCAAAGAGTTGAGCACTCAAGCCCTACAGTCACCTGCTTACCTTCCCAGATATTTCCTGCAGCAATGAGGTTGGTGGCAACTAGCTTGATAGTAGACTGAGCCTGGGCAGAGTGGTGGGTTGCTGCTAGAAGGCAGGCTCTCAGGCAGTCTGTATAAAACTGGTGATTTGAGGCATCTGCATCCAGTAGCAGTCTGACAGCACGGTCCCTCTCCCCAATCACAGCCAGACTCCTGCCAAGTGTTGCTCTCTGCGAACCTTCCAGGTTCTTGCTTTCGTGAATTGCCAGGCGCTCAAGTTCATGGTGCTGTCACAATCAAGTGTGGAGCCAGGTTATGTATGGAGGGAACATGACATCATAATTAGTCATTATAAATATATAAATTATAAATATAAATCAACATATCTATATTTTTCTTTTGAAAGAACTACTAGTTGTCTCACAGTAACTGTAGCTTTGAGGCCTACAAAATGTTAATTCAGCTCTATAAATATCCTTTCATGTAATGTCCATATAAGTTAGTCAAATAAACTGGAATTTTTTCACTGAAAACAACACAACTTTGTTCACTAAAATAATTAGAGCCAAACAAGCCACAACTATACTTCTCTACCTTGTATGTGGCAGCATCACACAGGTTGTGGTATGTGGTCTCCAGGGGATGAGTTGGAGGCAGAGCTGTAACTGTACTGGGCTCTTCACTGCCAGCGCTCTTCTCTGAGGCTGAGTCTCCAAGCGCTATCAATTCAGCACTCCCAACACTGCTGTTGCTGCTGCTTGTTTCATCCTGGAAGGGGATGTAGAGATCCCATATAAATTGCAGAAACTCTATGGAAATGTGAAAACATTATTAGGATACTGAATGAACTTACCTCTTACAGAATATTTCCAGAAATAAAATAAAGCCCATATAAATAATAATGAATTAAAAAGACACTACATTTAACCCAATGTTGATGGGTGAAAAAAATCCATTTTAAATTTTAAACTCTGGAGATTTCTGGCAACAGCCAGGCACTGGGTGTGGGAGTCCACTACATCAAGCCGAATGTCCTGCTCCAAACGCTCAGGCACATCACAGCGTGTACAGGCTTACCCCCCAGACCAATACACATGGTGCATCAGTATCAGGTTAAAGAAAATGTAATTCTCCAACTTCTTTCACTGAAGCTGACCTACTACACATGGAATAATCTGCATTCAAGCTCCTACATGAAAACAATATGGGCCTTCAAGTATGAATACATTTCATGAAGCTATAACAATGTGGTTAATATTTTGCAAAATTAGGTTTCCAGTAACTAAAAGAAAATAAAAAATTTATTTCCTTTTCCAAAAGAATAGGAAAAGAAACCTCTTCCTCTCACCTTGGACTGTGTTAAAGCTGGCTGTGTGAGGTAGTGACAGGCAACAGTCCAAAAGTCTATTTCTCCCTGATCACCAAACAACTGTGCAACTACAAGAGCGCGATGAGCAGTTGATCCACATGTCTCTAGGAATTCGCGAAGTTCCTCAGGAATTCTTGATATCCAGACTTCAATGTCTGGAAATATTTATATATTAAGAAAAGTATACATATTGACAATCATTATTACTTATGCAAACAGAGACACACACAGACAAAGAGATAGACAGCCAGATAAATATATACATGCACACAAACACACATGCACACACACACATGCACACACACACACACACACACACACACACACACACACACACACACACACACACACACACACACACACACACACACACACACACACACACACACACACACACAGGCACACACACACACACAGGCACACACACACACACAGGCACACACACACACACACAGGCACACACACACACACAGGCACACACACACACACAGGCACACACACACACACAGGCACACACACACACACAGGCACACACACACACACACACACACACACACACACACACACACACACACACACACACACACACACACACACACACACACACAGGCACCCACACACCCAAGCACACACACAACAGCAACAATAACTCCAACTGCAAAAAAGAACTAACTCAGGAGCTGTTCAGGTGTAAATCCATCTTCGCCAGAGAAGGAGAGAGAGTACTGGGTCTGCCATGGCTGATGTGTCATTAGTGTCCTTAGGTTGAGGGACGCCTCCCCCGCAAGCAAGTACGGGGATACTATAGGGTCTGAAACAAAGAGGATGCCAAACTGAGTAAGCAAAAATGCTCATCTTAATGAAAATATGAGTATATAACTAAAAATGATTAAATTATTGTACTAAGAGAAAAATAATTCCAATCATCTGCTTCATCTTCTTCATTTGGTGTGTGTGTAATATGGACATACAAATGTGCATAGCAATAGAGAATTATAATAATATATACATCACAGGAAACAGCAGAGTTCAATTAATCTTAAATTTACCTTTTGTACAATACTGGCATATTGGAGAGTTTGAAGTCTTCAGGTTCATGTCCATAACTCGTAGACATCCATCTACTGTGGCAAGGACTGGTCTGTCTGAAGCACCCCAGTCCACATCAACCACTTTCACAATGTCACGTGGAGACTTCACTTGGCTCACAAGTACCACCTAAATCCAAATACAATATAAGAAAAAAATTTGATTAGACTACATAAAGAAAATAATTATCTAGGGAATTAGTTGCCCCAACTACACAAATGGTTCCTGAAGATGTTCTTTTCACCTTTCCATTCCCATCCCCATTTACCTGAAAGAATTGTCTCAAACTGCAGGGAAAGAACTCTCAAAGTCTTTGCTCAAATTTTCACTCTCATATGACATTCTCTTAAGAGTAAACATCCACTTACATCCCTGACGTCCCAGATATCGATGCCATCAGCAAAGAGAACCAGAAGTTTCATGTTATCTCGTCCAGGAGCGAATCTAACTTTACGAATCCAGCCACGGTGTGTTGCTATGTGCCGGGAAATACGAGTCTTCAGATCCCATACTGTCAAATTGCCATCTGCATCACTTAGGATGATTTCATGGCTCTTCCAAGCAATTGATGTGATCGCACTCATCTGAGACTGGAAATGATAATGAACTATTAATCTTCCTCCCAATTCTGTATGCTTATCAGTTTGTTTCTCTAAACAGGCATACATTTAAATTTCAAAGAAATGAAGAGAAAAGAAAGAAGTACCCATTAAAATCCTATATTTCTTATAGGTATGTTCTAGTGATATTCAAGAACTCAAACTGTAAATTACTCATTACCCAATTGGGATACCCAAGTCAAGAAATCTAATAAAATGAAACTTACATCTGGTGGAACCTTTGTTCCGTCTCTGATTACATTGCCTTCCACTGAGAAGTGATAGAGTTGGCCCTCTGTGTCCGTAAACACAAATGTTTCCTTGGCAATACTTGTACGCTCATTCCCACCTGAAAAGCAGCATACACTTCATAATCTTGCTCTTTAACAAACACTTTATTACAGTTCATCTTCACTTACCTAACACTTTGTAAATTAATAACAAAGTTTTCTTAAATATTCAGAATACATAAGGATACAGTAAGTCCCCAACTTAAGAACATAATGGGGACCAAGAGGCTGTTTGTAAGTTGAATTGTTTGTATGTCGAAAGTCGGGTCTCCATTACCTTTTTTCCCATTGTTTTAAAGTTTTGTTTACATTAAGAATACCTGTAAATAAAGCCCAATAAGTACGACATATCTTATACAGTACCAGACTCTTGAACTATATTCATGCCCGGGAAATTTGAAGTTTGCTAGCATCTTTCAAACAATTTTTTTGGACTTTAGTACTTTAAAAATTTTGTTTGTATGTATGGAATGTTCATAAGTAGAATGTTCTTTAGTAGGGGACTATCTGTATTTGATCAAATAACAGCCAAATGGAATACAGTGTAAAAATAACTGACCAAAGTCTGCAAGAGACAACATGGACTCTGTCATTGAGGCCTCAGCATGTGGAGCCTCCTTGGGGACTGATGACTCACTCTTCCCTGGCTCTGTGTCTGGCAGCTTCTGGCTCTCAGACTCTCTGCGGGCTTTCATGTGGCTGGTGGGAGACCACTCCAAGGCAGACACCCTTGGGAACCTGCGTGGCATCGTTCGTAGTGGAACCAACTTTCTGGCATCCCAAAGTTCAAAGGGATCCTCTCTAAAGACAACTATGAAATACTGCCTGAAATAAAACACCATTTGATGAATAACAGTAATCGAGTTCTATTCAATCTGTGTTTATCATAAGTTTAGCCCCTGCATTTTTTTTCTTCTTTTTATAAGCACAGAAACATGCCTACTACAGCATATCTAAAATTCTACTTACTTAAGGTATGAGACTCTGACCATATCAATGCTTGTTTCATCACTCTTGTTAGGTCTGAGCGTAATAGTTCTTCCAGTGAGAATGTCAGTGTAGATCAGTTCATTGCGGACAAGGCCCTGACTGTTAGTGAGAGGCTGGTGCCCGAAGGACAATATGGATGTTAGGCTTGTCCACTCCACCCCTCTGCAAAAGGGAGAAGGAAAACATAAATTGCTTCCATTGGAAATTCTAAATTTCATTGGCAACCTCAAGCAATTAGAAATTTCATACACTTTTTACCATTTAGTTACCAATTTTCTACAGTTCATTTACTTTTTGGTACCAGTGACCCAATCAGTACTCTTTTTCACTATGATATTCATCAAAAACCATTAATTTTTACAATATTTTTCTCACCCATATGGAAAAAAGTTAATAATAATAATAATAATAATAATAATAATAATAATAATAATAATAATAATAATAATAATAATAATAATAATAATAATAATAATAATAACAACAACAACAACAACAACAACAATATGATATTCATCAAAAACCATTAATTTTTACAATATTTTTCTCACCCATATGGAAAAAAGTTAATAATAATAATAATAATAATAATAATAATAATAATAATAATAATAATAATAATAATAATAATAATAATAATAATAATAATAATAATAACAATAACAATAACAATAATAACGATAACAATAACAATAACAATAATAATAATAATAATAATAATAATAATAATAATAATAATAATAATAATAATAATAATAATAATAATAATAATAATAACAACAACAACAACAACAACAACAACAATAATAAACAACTACAATAATAATAATAATAATAATAATAATAATAATAATTATTATTATTACTACTATTTTAATAACAATAATAATAATAATAATTATTATTATTATTATTATTATTATTATTATTATTATTATTACTATTATTACTATTATTATGATTATTATTATTATCATCATAAAAAAATAAAAATATCAATAATCATAACGATAACAATAATAATAATAGTGATGATGATGAAAAGTAATTCCAAAAAATAGATAATAATAACAAACTTTCATTGCATAAATCCAAGAAACAAACCTGACAGGGTATGTGTGCAGTGCAAATTCTCTCTCTAGCATGCCCGTGGCCATGTTAAAGATCTGGACAGCACCGCTCTGTGTGCCAGCAGCCAGCCGGGGCACGTAATGGTGAATGTTCCTGGTGGTAAGAGGAGGACACATTCGCACCACAAGCGGGGGTGGGGATACTGCGGGCATCAGGCCAGTCATCAGAATTCTCAGGTTCACACGGTGACCAATGTCCTAGGAAGGGAAGGGTGGGGGGAATGGTCCATTTAATAGTCTCGGACAATAGTCTGGGTAAAAGTTATTCAACTGCATGGGGATGATACTAATCATAAATAATTAATTAGATAAACAGTATAGTGATTGTGATAGGGATTGGGGTGGTGGTGGTAATGGTGGTTGGTGGCAGTGGTGGTGGTGGTGGTGGTGTTGATGATGATGATGATGATGATGATGATGATGATGATGATGATGATGATGATGATGATGATGATGATGATGATGATGATGATGATGATGATGATGATGAGGAGGAGGAGGAGGAGGAGGAGGAGGATGGAAGAATCATAAAAAACCTAGAACAAAAAAATACTCTTTTGCTACCATTACCTTGACATTTTCTGACAAAGCCCAGGCAGGCTTCACCATGTCTGCAAGTGATGTTTTGGGCAGACTAAGGCAGACACCAGAGGGGGAACTGGATAAGCTGAAGTGGTTGTCAGCAATGTTGAGGCCTGACTGGGGAGGTCCCTGAGTGGGTCCTACTGGGGCCGAGGGAGCCCCTGGAGTGAACAGTGGGGTGCTAACGGCCACCCGGCCAGGAGTTGGGGTGGTTGTCACCTGCTTGAATACCACACGGCCATCACCAAGCACCAATGCTGCTCAGGAAAAAATAATCAACAGTTAGACCCAGTCCCACTCCATTAAAATCTGACTTCAGCAAAAGAATGGATGGAACAGCTTATGACAAAATGAATAACAGTCTATGCCAGAATGAAAAACTATAAATGAATGTTACACTAATATCTGGTACTGAAGTTGCAATATTAGAAAATGACATGAATGAGGTGAGTACCACTGGACTAATAATTGGTCGCTTTATTATCAGAAACTGAAAATTAAGATCAGAGACTTCACTGGCATGCTAAAAACCATGATATCCTTAAGAATAAAACGAGAATTAGTAAATATCTATAAAAATTTCCATAGTGGCTTTCAAAGCAGGAATTTTCTCTCAATCATATTGGCTATAATCTATTCAAATCCATATGAAACTTGCTGTGATCTGTGGCAGAAGGCCAAAAAGCAAGCCTACAAGCAGTAATTTGCAAGAATATACATGGCAAGTTTTTTTCAATCTTTGTTGGAATACCTGCAATGCACCATACCTGTAAGTCTGGTGTGATACAAAACCCAGTGGGTATTTCTATAAGCTATGTGACAATGTATAATGATGTGCCTCTTCCAGATTTTGTAATCATATTTCTCCACACATCTTTGGTAATTTTGATTTTTTGTTGAGTTACCCTAGTCATTCAAAAAACAACCATTTTCTATGGCAAATGATGAAAAGAAAACTAGAAAATGTCCTTTTAAATTCAAAAGGGCAAATTTCTCTTTCCATACTAGAAAAAAAGCAAAAAGGAAAGTAAGAAAGTAAGAAAGACTGACTGACTGACAAAGAAAAAAAGGAGAAAGAAAACAAAAAAGGAAATTGAAAAGGGAGAAAAATGAAAAAAAGGAAAAAAAAAAAAATGGAAAACCATAAAAAGAGAAGAAAAGAAGAAAGAGAGAAAGAAAAAACAAAATGAGAAAAAAAAGAAAGAAAAAGGAAAAAGGGGAAAGAGAAGAAAAGGAGAAAGAGAGAAAAAAAAGAAAGAAAGAAAGAAAAAGAAAGAAGGGGAAAGAGAGAAAGAGAGAGAGAACGGAGGGGAAAGAGAGAAAGAGAGAGAGAACGGAGGGGAAAGAGGGAAAGAGAGAGAGAACAGAGGGGAAAGAGAGAATTAAAGAAAAAGAAAGGATCAATGAAAGAGAAAGAAAAAGAGAAATGAAGAGAAAGAAAAAAAAAAAAAAAAATGAGAATGTAAAAGAAAGAGAAAGTGAACGGAAGATAGAAAGATAAAGTAAGGGAAAAATAAAGAGAAAAATGGAAAAGGCAAATACAGAAAAAAAGAAGAGAGAAAAAGAGGCAAACAAAAGGAAAGACAGATATATAAAGATTACTTGTCAGCACAATATTTTCAATTATCTAATTGCACCCAAAAATCATTAATATGTATTTTTTATTATCCTTGATATTATCTAATCTCTAGCCAAACTGTTGATCCTGTACGGAACACAGTACTGGATACTGGATATAAAGTAAGGGAAAAATAAAGAGAAAAATGGAAAAGGCAAATACAGAAAAAAAGAAGAGAGAAAAAGAGGCAAACAAAAGGAAAGACAGATATATAAAGATTACTTGTCAGCACAATATTTTCAATTATCTAATTGCACCCAAAAATCATTAATATGTATTTTTTATTATCCTTGATATTATCTAATCTCTAGCCAAACTGTTGATCCTGTACGGAACACAGTACTGGATACTGGATAGCTATCCAAACTCTTAATTTCAGCATCTTCATCAGTTAATGTGCATTTAATGATTGTGTTGGGTGGCTATTAACTCAATGAGCGCGAGTGACAAGACTACAATGCTATGCCAACTGTAATAAAAGTTTAATATATTGTCTCTACATATAGATGGCTCTACAAGTGCTTACTCACCATGGAGTCAGCTATTAGGCTTACCTACCTCATATGTTTACTCTTTTCCTTCATTTTTTGAAGGCTTCACTTCTATTATTTTATTGTCTTTGATGTTATTAATATCTAACAATTGAATAATCATAATATCAATGAGAATGATAACAACGTCAATATTAATAGCATTGGAAAGAAAAACACATTTTCCAGCCAATTCAAGAAATGAGGAAATCAGGATCGGTTACTAGGGCCAATTGATAGACTTGTTACTGAGCAAATATGGAGCCATCTGTATGTAACAAAACTCACTAAAATCTAATGGGACAGTAAATAAAACTGCTGACATTGGGTTAAAAGCAATTGCCAGTACTACATAGAACTGACACTTTGATACATATGCACAATGTATTACATTTTCCCATAACCATGAATTATGATAACGAAAAAAAAGATAAAAACTGGTCAGTGAAACAATCATAACCATCTCAGTGAGCCAAAATTCCAGCCAAAACAGCATATTCCTTACCCATGTGTTTTTCATGCACTGGGTCAAGTGCCATGCCAATGGCTCTGCTCTGCTTATTGAGGCGAAGGGGTTCCGAGTGGCACTTGCGGTCATACATAACTTCGTAGTAATTCTCTCCAGCACCTCCATTATCTAATTTAAATGATACTAGTCATACACCAGACTTCAATCAAATAAAATCTATACTCAGAAAATTATTTAAAACTTTGATTATAAAAAAAAAAAAAATGGAAATATGTCACATTGACACTTTTATGTCACATTGATCACTTTGATATTTTTAATGTGTAAGTGGAACCAAATCTACCATACCTGAATGCCAAGTGTTTTCCTTATCTGTTTCTGGCGAAGTTGCTACTGGCAGTAACCGTCTGCGGAAATGTGCAGAGACAGAACCAGAATCATGAAGGCAAAACAGAACATCTCTCTGCCAGCAAGATAGTACCTGCAATCATTCAAGATTATTAGTCTACATACAGAACAAAAAAGCTGAAGTAAGTTGGTAATCAGCTGATGAAAAAATAATAAGTGACTGTCTACATACAGTAACAAATCCAAAAGGCACTACTATCATAATAAAGGGGAACCTAATGCAAGCTCCCATACAATGCACATGGGAGCTTCCATATACCATAAAAAGGGAAAATGATAAATATGATTCTACTTTTTAACAGCCAATTCCATGCACCACAATAAGAAATAACATTTAGATTCCAATGCAGCTAACATATATTCGTTACCTGGCAGAATGGTGACATGGCTCTGTCGATAGCAACAATGCCAACTGTCTGGTTAATGGTAAGGTCGAGCACCAAAATTTCTCGAGAATATAACAGTAAAAGCTGGTCTCTCACAGTTTTGTGGTATGCCAGCTGCAAGCACTCAGTTAACTGACTTAAGTCATCACTTCTGTAATGAAAAGAATACAAAAGCCATCAGTAAAAAATAGGAATGCAATGCTCATGTCATACAAAAGCCTCCTATTCTAGCAACCCCATGACTGCCCTAAACAATCTCTGTAATGCACAAATCTTATCTCAAACAATGCCAAAGGCCCAATATTAACTCAATGCTGCTGGGAAAATGCTATGCTCTTTTTTATTTTTTGTGAAATATCTCTGCACATAGATAGCTCTGCTAGTGTTTAGCCACATGTGACCTTACCTGATTTCACCTTTCCTTGAATTGGCAGGGAAAACGTTTTTTTTACAAATGCTATGAATACTGATGGTGTTATTTTTATTATAGACATAATTACTATAATGTTATTGACATTAGTAACAGCAATATAAAATAATGTAAAATATTTTTGAAAATGAAGGGAAAGGGTAAACAGGTGAGATAGGCAGTACTCATAGTTGGTTCATTGGTAACTTAGTACAAGTGTAGTCATCACTGTGTAGAAACAATTAATAAAGTACATACATGCAGTGCCGGTCGGATTTGGGTTAAAAGCGTGTTATGCACAGATTCAAGAGCTATACACATATGTGTTCCAATGAAGGACTTCCCATTACAAATTGCATCTCCTTGCATGTTGCAAACTCTCTGATGAAAGCTATGGACACCCTTCCTTAAAAATATTTACATAAAAACTTTACATGCAATGTACTTTATTTATCAAGATTTGAATGTCTAAATAACATACATAAAGTACTGTCAACCTTATAAGTAAAAAACACACTAAATGTTTATTTTATCTGATCCTCACAGACCCCCTGAAATCCCAGGTTAAGAACCCCTGCATTAGCTTCAATCTGCTACATTCATTCATGAGAAAAGCTAAATTAATCTGTGTTGCTTATATACATGGTAAACATTTATTCTATATATTTAGCTGCACCTAAAATCTCCAATAAATAATCTGACTAAAACAAGAAAATATTATGACCATGCACTTCACTGTAAATCAAATCTGCTTCTCAGCAATTCAATTTCCAGTGCAGTAGTGTGAATACAGCATCAGTCTTTAAATCAAACTTAGTATCTGGAGTAAGTATGAGGGCCACCATCCATTACTGCCATCTATGCAGAGGTATCAGTTAAAATAAATATGCAACTTTGCCATTTCAAAAGTTGATCCATACTTGGGCTTTGCCT